CTGAGTTCAGGTCGCGCTTTGTGACGGCGCACCCGGATGTGATCCTTCTGGACGCCAAGGAGCCACACAAGAAGTTCGTGGAGAAGATCAGCCGCGACTTCATGGTGCATGGTATGGTTCCATACTACCCGGTCGCCGAGATCAGAACACGGGCAGACAGCATAGTGCAGAAGACGGGGCTCACCAAGAACGCCGAAGACCTCCTCACCATCTCCAAAGCTAAGGAGCCTGATCAGGTGACCGACGTTCAGACGCTGCTTCATCGAGTTCATGCTCTTTTCATGGCTTTGGAGTACCTGAACATCTGCACTTACTCCAGGGCTGCAGGTCCGCTCAGATACCTGCAAGAGCTCGAACAGTTCAAAGCGGACTGCCCTGGGCTCCCCTACATCGTGGCGGCGGACGCGCTGATCCGCAAGAAAGTTCACCGCCTCCAATCAGAACAGCGGGAGAGCTTTGCCACGTTCGACGCGGCATTGGCGGAGGTGCTCAACAATCACAAATACTTGTGGAACGATGCTCGCACCAAAGCTGTTCTGGCCAAGGTCGATCGAGCTCAGCCGATCGCCAAAGAGGACCAAGATCGCGTCCTGGAGAGTCCGGTCAAGACCGCTGCTCCTTCAGGTCGCCGGCGGAAAAAGCGCAACAACAAAGAGGCCGGCAAGACGGCCGCCGAAGTCAAACCAGTTCAGAAGGAGCAGTTTGACAAGAAGAAAGACAAGATCGCCAAGCCAGACAAGGACAAGAGGATCCCAGAGTCCGAGTGGAAGCTCATATCCCAAGCGGCCAGCTCAGTTAGCGGCCAGAAGCGCTGCCACTATTTCAACTCTTCGATGGGGTGCGCTCTGGCAGACAAGTGCAGGTTCAAGCACTTGTGCATGACATGCGGGGCAGCTCACCCGATGGTGGGCAACCACTGAGTTCATGGCGAAAGCTTGGCCCTAGAGGCTCGTTTGGGCACGAATGATGAGCCACCAGCTCGGACAGTGTCTCAAACTAGCTTTTGGGGTTCCATGCAGATCCCGCATGGTCAATTTTTCCTGGAAATTTTTGCTGGCAAAGCAGGGCTATCGCAGGCAATCAGTGCTCGTGGCATGGCGATTTTGCCCCCCATTGAGATCGAGGCGGGCGAGTTTGTTCGACAGTCGGTTGACGTGTTGGACCCCCAAGTTCAAGCTCACCTCAAGATGCTGATCGAAGCCAAGATCATTTTCTATATTCATTTTGGCACACCTTGCTCTAGCTTCAGCGTGGCTCGCAAGAACGATGGGGGCCCTCCACCGCTACGCGATCGGCATCATCTTTGGGGCTTACCCGGGCTGCGCCCCCAAGATCAGAAGGTCACAATGGGGACAGAGTTCATGTTTTTCACCCAAAGGATGGCAAGGCTGTGCAGTCAGTTTGGGGTGGCATGGTCGCTGGAGAATCCAGCCTCCTCTTTTATTTGGGTCATGCCGCCGATTTTGGAGTTGGCTCAAATGCCTCAAGTTCAGACGATCACGCTGGACATGTGCAGGTTCGGCTCTCCTCACAAGAAGCCGACATCGATCATGGCGGATTTCTCCTTGCAGGCTCTCGCCAAGACTTGCAACATGGCTGATCAACCCCACCAGCACGAGCCGCTCGTGGGCACGATCGTCATCAACGGCAAGAGGATCTTCCGTACAAAGCTCGCACAAGTTTATCCTGACGAACTTTGCACTGAGTGGGCAGATCTGGCTGCAAAGGGGACATCCCAAGATCCTTTGGCTGCTACCTTTGCTCTGACAACGCCGATTTCTGATCGGAAGAGGCCGGTCGGTCAGCCGGTGCCTTGGAAGCCTCACAAACAACAGCTCACAGCAGCAAAAGCCACTGCTGCGGGCTACCAGCTCAAGCGCTCGGCGCTTCCGCCACTGTTGGACGTCGAGATGGAACCTGGTCGTGCAGTGGAGGTCGCCCTCAGCGTAGCTCATCCATTTACACTGGACCCTGCGCTCGACCCAGATCTCCAAGAATCATTGGCCATGGTCGTTCGACAGCCTCAATTTGTCCTCGGTCACCGAGCAGGAGCTCTACAGTACTGGGGACGCCGCGCTCATGATCTTCTCCCTGCTACAGATGCAATCTTGCAGCAGATCCCGGATGCGTTCCTTCGTCGTCTTCTCCGAGGTCAACCCGATGCACAGCCTCTACGCCTAGGCTCCTGCACACATGTGGCCCTGTGGGCAGAGATGCTCGCAGCAGCTCGCTGCGTGGATGAGGCTCTTTTAGCAGATCTTTTGCAGGGTTTCGCAATAGTGGGGCCCATCCAAAGATCTTTGCGGTGGGGTTTGTTGCCAGCGCCAGATGATTCTCTGTCGCTGGATGATTTACGCTCGCGGGCCTGGGAGTTCTCGCAGAAGGTCACCAAGAATGTGGCGCGCTGCGATCTTACAGAGCATACAGCCAAGGTCTGTGAAGCCACAATGGAAGATGTGGCTGAGGGGTCTACGCTCGGTCCCTTTTTCTCCAAGCAAGAGGTGTCCCAGTTCCTTGGCACAGACGAGTGGATCCCCACACAACGCTTTGAGGTCGTTCAGAAGAACAAGGTCAGAGGAGTTGACAGCGCAACGATCAATGGGGTGAACCTCGCCACTACCATCACAGAGAAGCTCGAGCTGCCTTCAACCGATGTGAACGTGGCGGCTCTTCGTTGGTTGCGGTCAAAACTACCGAAGGGGACTGATGTTCAAGGCTGGGTGCTCGATGAGCGGAAGGCCTATCGGCAGATAGCAGTCAGACCCGATCAACGGCGGTGGAGTGTGATCGCCATGAGGGAGCCGAAAGAGGGCAAGATCGCCTTCTTCGTGATGATTGGCCACTCGTTCGGCTTAGTCTCTGCCGTTTACAACTACAATCGTAGGTCTGCTGCCATCGCCGACATCCTGCGCAGGGTGTTCTTCGTGGCTGCTTTCAACTCCTATGACGATAAGTATGGGTTCGAACCAGCCACCACATGCGCCTCTGCCTTTGAATCAGCTCAGAAGGTACACTGGTGGCTAGGAGCTCAGTTTGACGCGAAGAAGTTGCAGCTCTGCCAGGACCCTACGATCCTTGGCGTGACCTACGATCTGGTCGGCATGGAACTCAAGATCAAGCAGGCCAGGAAGGTCGAATTGCTGGACGAGATTTCTTCAATTTTATCATCTCAGGTTCTTCCTCCAGGTCAAGCAGGCAAGCTGAGAGGAAAGCTGATGTTTGGCTCGTCCCAGCTTTGGGGCAAGATCGGAAGAGCGTTCCTTCGTGCGCTGTCCGAGCGGCAGTACACGCGGGCGAACAACTCCCACTTGAGCGAGGCTATCGTCTTAGCTCTCAAGCAGTGGAAGTGGCTCATTGAAGAAGGACCGCCGAGACCTATTTCGAAGTCGAGGCCTAGATCTTCTGATTTCGTCATTTTCACAGACGGGAGCTACCCAGACGGGAAGCCTGGTTCACCACTGAAGCCTTGGATCGGTGGAGTGCTCTGCAGGAAAGGTGACCAATTTGGCTGCGAAGTTCCACAGAAGCTGATCGACAAGTGGATCCCGCGCAAATCTCAAATTGCCATGGTGGAGCTCTTTGCGACAGTGGTGGCTCTCAAGACGTTCAAGCGCCGCATTTCTGATTCATGGTCTTTGCTTTTGGTAGATTCAGAACCAGTTCAAGGCGCGCTCGTCAAAGGATACTCCTCACGTGAAGATCTTTGTGAGTTGGTAGGTATCTTCTGGAATCTTGCTCTTGAACTTAGGATTAATTTGTATATTGATAGGGTTCCAACTGATGCTAATCCAGCCGATCCGCCATCGCGTGATAATTTATCCATTGGGTCGAATGCTGGCTGGATTACTCTTGATCCCATTTTTCCTTCTCTTTGAGCAGCGTGGGTCTAGTTGATTGCATTTTGCTCAGGGGATTTGTTTTGGATCAGAGCCAGATTCAGCTCTACGTTTTATCAAGGTCTGATGATAATACTGACAGATCAGTCAGTTCCAGATCGTTTTCATGATCAGATCCCCTCTTGCTACCCACGTCTCTCAAGAGGGAAAACGTTCTGCTTGCGGCTGAGGGGTGAAGGGCATGTGATCACATGCACGTTGCGAGAACACAAATTGGGTCACATATCATCGGTCTGGTTAGGTTGAGATATGTGATTCGATTTTAGTTCTGTCACCACCAGCTGCTTGCTCTTGTGCATTCATGGAAGGTGTTCACCTTCTTGCTTGATGTTGTGATCGTGAATGGTTGGAATTTGAGATGAAGGATGTTCATCCTTTTATTTATTTATGATCTGCGAAGCTGAGATTTATTTGATCAGGATTTTATTTCAGAATATCAGCGATCTTGATTTTGAGTGCAGCCAAGTGGAAGATCGATCGATCTTGCCATTTTGGCTCAAGATCGATCCTCTGAGTCAAAAGCTCCCATCCCACCCACCCTGGTTAATCCGGGGTGGGTCCATCGACCCTTTTCATTCCTATCTTCATGCTGCGATTTCAGCATTGCTCTGTGTGATTGGGTCTAGTTGATTGCATTTTGCTCAGGGGATTTGTTTTGGATCAGAGCCAGATTCAGCTCTACGTTTTATCAAGGTCTGATGATAATACTGACAGATCAGTCAGTTCCAGATCGTTTTCATGATCAGATCCCCTCTTGCTACCCACGTTTCTCAAGAGGGACAACGTTCTGCTTGCGGCTGAGGCGTGAAGGGCATGTGATCACATGCACGTTGCGAGAACACAAATTGATGTACATATATATATATATACACATAATTGACATATACATATTTGTATGTGTACGTGTATGCATCTGTGTACGTACCTGTGTGTATATGTACTGTATATATATACAGATATCTGTAAATATCAGTGTAAATGTAATGAGTACGTTATGTCCTTCCACAAGTAAATCGCAGTATATGTCTTGGCTCAACACCTCCCTCACGTTTCGTCAGCATCTCAAGATCCCCCGCAACGTTGTGTCTTCCTGGCGCGCGGCAGGCAGGCTTCATCATTGACCCGGTCTGTGTGCCCCCCACCATGACCTTGCAGGACCAGAGATGAACGGGCCATTCCCGTGGTGGCAACGCAGCTCCAATTTTGGGTATGCTCAAGTTTGACCCATATTCAGGTGGTACTACCTTGCCCTACATAATCATTAACTAGTAGTTGCTTCTTTTGCCGCGATTAAGCTTGAATACATCAAAAGATTGTATTTTTGGAAAGCAGTCATTAGTTCACATCTTGTCCAGCTTGCAGACTTGATTCTGCTTCATGTGGAACGAGTTGTATACTTATATGTACAAATCACCAAAAACATCACCACTTGAGTTGCCATCCCAAATTACCCCGGGTCCAGATGTATTGCTGGCTGCGGGTGCCAGGAGTTGGAAGAATTGAAGAGCAAGCTGGGCTTCACAGGTTTCCCGGTCACCGCAGGTGGTAAGATGGGTCAGCCGCTCTTGGGACTGGTGACCAAACGTGACACCGACCCTTGGATCGCTGGCGGCCGTTGATTTTCGGGCCCAAGTGGTTGATACGGTTGATAGGCTTCCCGATTGAAGGTCTGACCACGCATGCGTTGTGGGATGTTGTGGTGGGAACCCCCAATTTTTTTTTCTGGTTAAGCACTCGATTTTGAATATTTTCTGCCATTCAACCCCATCAAAAATAGCAAAACATATCAACAGTCACCCAAAAAACACACACACACACATCAAAAAATATCAAACCCAACTTTTTAAATATTTCTTGGATAACAGCCCATCACGTATTTTTGCCGTGTTTCCTGTCACCGAGTCATCCACCACGCCTGAGGACTTCGTCACCAACCGCAACACGCGGCTCAGCGAGATCATGACGCCGGTGAAGAACCTGGTCACGGTGAAGGAAGGGATCGATTTGTTGAAGGCCAACAACATCCTGCAGACCTCCAAGAAGGTGAAAAGGGGGGCACCAGAAGTGTCGGAAAGGCCAATTGTTTAGCCCCTTTCCCATTTTTTTTGTTTTTATTCTTTCAAACCCCCATTATATAAATGGGGTTTCAAGATTAGATGATATTAGTGTTTGACTATTTTAGGACATTTGCTGGTTTTAAGGTGCAAAAATGGGGCTTCAAAGTGCAATCCTTAGGTTTCAACAAGCATAAAAAGGGGTTTTGAAGCAGCGAAGAGAGGATATGTCCCTGCAATTAAACATACCGGGCTGGAAACTCGCCCAGAAATGTAGATGACTTAGCGTAATTTGAATGGGTGTGTCTGAAAATGGTGTATACATCAAGATTACCATGCAAATCGGACACATGATGAGAAGAATTAAATCCGGGAATTGGCATATTTTCAGACACACCCAAATTGTGATTTCCATTTCCAGCTTACACCAGAGGGCATTTGATATTCATGTCCATCTAGAAATAACACTTCGTGCATGTCTTCGAGTCAGCCGAGACCTTTAGGTCAACCGACTGGCAATCTAAGCTGCCTGGATGGCACAGTTTTTCTGAGGGCAAAACGACCTTAACAGGAATATGTTCCATTGGTATGTTATATTGCCCCCAAGCCCAGTGAAAGCTGGTTTCTGACCAAACCGGAGATCTCATCAGTGCAGTGCATCTATGGTTTTTTTAGGTGGGTTTTTCTCAACGTCGATTCTGGGAATTTTGGAGCCATCCCAAATACCAAATCAAGTCACAGCTAGACTCTGGCCCGGACTAAGCATCACACATGTGTGGGTCATTTCGTTAAGGAAAACCCCAAGTACTTCGAGAAATGCCCGAAGATGGGACCTAAGATGAATGGATCCAAAAAAAAAAAGGTTTTTGTTTGGGAGGTACTTAGTATCAGGGGGACGGGATTAAATATGTCATATGATGTCATATGTCACTATACTTACACCAAATTCACTTTGATGCCAGCAAAGCCCGGTCCATGGCCCTGAAGATGATTGATGTCAGTGCGCAGAAAAGGTCTTGCCGGCCGCCGCGTCCACCTTCTCCATGGCGTCGCAAGGCGTCGCCGCTTTCTGCGGCTGTAGCTTGTCGTGGTGATGCTGGAGGCTATATGGGGACAAGCAGTGGCTCAGGCTTGATTGACCTTTCAGTAGAATTCCTGAATGGTGAAGGATGCAGGCTGAAGCTGGAAGGTTCCTGTACTGGTCGCGAAGTGTATCGAATGGTTTCAGCACGACTTCCGAAGAAAGGTGGACAACCCAAGCTGTATAACGGCAGCTCACCGCTCATCCTGCACAAAGCATTGCAGGAGCAAGGCATTGTGAGCGGGGATGCATCACTCTCTTGCACGTATGTTCCAACAAATCTCTATGCTGCATGGCGCACTGTCCAAGGGTTCCAAGACTCTGAGGGAGAGATTGCATTGGAGGGAGTGACCTGGATAAAAGGTGCAACAACCACAGAGTATTTGAGGCATCTACCACAAACTCTTGCACACTTGACATTTGGCAGTGACTCTTATCAGAGCCTGAAAGGAGTGACCCTGCCGCGCAGTCTTCAGAGCTTGTCATTTGGAGATCAGTTTAACCAATGCCTGAAGGAAGTGACCCTGCCGCACAGTCTTCAGAGCTTATCCTTTGGATTTTCGTTTAACCAAAGCCTGGAAGCAGTGACCTTGCCGCACAGTCTTCAGAGCTTGTCATTTGGATATCTGTTCAACCAAAGCCTGGAAGAGGTGGCCCTGCCGAACAGTCTTCAGAGCTTGTCATTTGGACATAACTTTAACCAAAGCCTGTCAGGAGTGACCCTGCCGAGCAGTATTCAGAGCTTGTCATTTGGCAATAAGTTTAACCAAAGCCTGGAAGAAGTCGCCTTGCCGCACAGTCTTCAGAGCTTATCATTTGGATTTTGCTTTAACAAAAAGCTGACAGAAGTGACCCTGCCGAGCAGTCTTCAGAGCTTGTCATTCGGAAATAACTTTAACCAAAGCCTGGAAGGAGTCGCCTTGCCGCACAGTCTTCAGAATGTGTCATTTGGAGATCGGTTTAACCAAAGCCTGGAAGGAGTCGCCTTGCCGCACAGTCTTCAGAGTGTGTCATTTGGAGATCGGTTTAACCAAAGCCTGAAAGGAGTGACCCTGCTGCGCAGTCTTCAGAGCTTGTCATTTGGAGATCAGTTTAACCAAAGCCTGGAAGGAGTTCTGCCACACAGTCTTCAGAGCTTGTCATTTGGATCGCGGTTTAAGCAAAGCCTGGAAGGAGTGACCTTACCGCACAGTCTTCAGAGCTTGTTATTTGGATCACAGTTCAACCACAGCCTGAGAGGAGTGACCCTGCCAAGGAGTCTTCAGAGCTTGTCATTTGGATTTCAGTTTAATCAAAGCCTGGAAGGAGTGACCTTGCCGAACAGTCTCCAGAGCTTGTCATTTGGAAATAACTTTGACCAAAGCCTGGAAGCAGTGACCTTGCCGCACAGTCTTCAGAGCTTATCATTTGGATCGCTATTCAACCACAGCATGGAAGGAGTGATCCTGCCGGGCAGGCTTCAGAGCGTGTCATTTGGAGATCGGTTTAACCAAAGCCTGGAAGGAGTGACCCTGCCAAGGAGTCTTCAGAGCTTGTCATTTCGCCATGAGTTTAACCAAAGCCTGGAAGGAGTGACCCTACCGAGCAGTCTTCAGAGCTTGTCATGTGGATATCTGTTTAACCAAAGCCTGGAAGGAGTGACCCTGCCGGAGTGACCCTACCGAGCAGTCTTCAGAGCTTGTCATGTGGATATCTGTTTAACCAAAGCCTGGAAGGAGTGACCCTGCCGTGCAGTCTTCAGAGCTTGTCATTTGGAAATAACTTTAACCAAAGCCTGGAAGGAGTGACGCTGCCGAGCAGCATTGAGAGCTTGTCATTTGGATCGCAGTTTAACCAAAGTCTAGAAGGAGTGACCCTTCCGAGCAGTCTCCAGAGCTTGTCATTTGGAAATCATTTTAACCAAAGCCTGAAAGGAGTGACCTTGCCGCACTGTCTTCAGAGTTTGTCATTTGGAGATCGGTTTAACCAAAGCCTGAAGGGAGTGACCCTGCCGACCAGTCTTCAGAGCGTGTCATTTGGATCGCAGTTTAACCAAAGCCTTGAAGGAGTGAATCTGCCGAGCAGTCTTCAATGTTTTGTGTGTCGTTCAGTTCTAGTCAAGATAGTTTGACCTAAATTTAGCAAATGAACAGTGAACATTGTGAGCAAAAGTGCCCTGTGAGCAAAAGTGCCCTGTTTGAGTCTTGAGGTTTACCAGACATGGGATCAACATCAACATTACGGTAAACTGAGCTGTCATGAGCTGTATTTTTTTGCGACAGACATCCATATATTGGCAGCCGCAATAGATCCTTGCGCCCAGTGGTCTTCTCGGTGAGAGGAATCCATGGGGCTGCGGCCGCAATGTACAGTATAGCAACTCCCAAACGAGTGACACCCTGAAAATTATTCTGACATAGTTTCTGACATACCATCTATCTGACATTCTATTCTGGCATTCTATCTGGCATCTATTCTGCCATTCCAATTATTTGACATTCTATTCTGGCATTCTATCTGGCATTTATTCAGACATTCTCTCTGACATGGGCACATGGGCAGTGCCCACTGAGATCTGGAGCTCGCGGTTGAGGTCCGGCAGGGCCCACTGAGATTTGGAGCTCGCGGGTGAAAAAATGTCTAAAACAACAGTTCATAGAAGTTTTTTAATTTCAATTATAACAGTCTAAGCACAGATGTTTAATATTGTTGATTACTTCATTTTTTCAACAATATCAACACTATACTGAAAATAATAACAGTCAAAGTATAGTTACCTCATCCATTTTTCAAAAGCACAATAGTTCAAAGAATAATACCATAAAACCATAACAGAAAAATAATGAAACCCAAAAACAGAACAATCAGCAAACAACAGCAAAATCATCACTACCTACCATCAATCACCTCATTTATTTTTCACAAAATCATCACTGCCACCTATATCATCATCTCATTCATTTTCATAAATCATAACTACTAACCATCTATTACCTCATCCATTTTATAAAAATCACAACAGTCAATACATCATCACCTCGTCCATGCCATACCCAAAACGGAACAACCAAACAACAAACAAAAAAAAATAGACCAAGCAAAGCACAATATAAAAATCAAAACAGAGAACAACTATAAATATAAATCCATACCCTTTAATAATCATATCTTAATCATCCATAATTCCAATAAATAAAGATGAAATATGTTAGTAGTAAATGTCTTCAATAATTACGAATTTAAAATGAAATGCCTGTATTCCTATTATACTATCTTTATCTTGGTCTTCTTCTATGTCGGCTTTCATTTCTTCAACTGCTTTCTCTAATAGTTCATCTACATTATCTTCATCCACATATTCATCAAAGTCATTCATAAAATAAATCTCTCGCCACTAATTGGACTTCAATATCAAGTTTAACTCTAAAATTTAAATCATCTTCTACTTCTTCATAAATTAAAGATAATATTTTTTTCTTCTGTTATTTTGTCTTCTAAACTTTTTAAACTAAATGGCACTCCCTCTCTCATAATACAGTATTCAATTATCTCTATATATTTTCTTGATTTCAAATGTCTTGCTATTTTAGGACCAACTCTTGAAATCTTATATTTGTTTTGTATTCTCTTTAATGCCTCAATATGGCAATATTTAATTTTCAAATATTTAGGGTCTCCAATTTTATAAGAAGCAATTTTACTCAGCACATCAACGGGTAAATCCTTCGCACAATCCATCCTACTAATATACTTAACTATTCTTTAAGTATATATTCAAAGATTGAAATAAGGCATTCTTAAAAAAAACTACTTAAAGATAAATTAACTAAATAAAATATATAATATTATATGATGAAAAAAAATATAGACTATCTATTGAGTAATGATTTAGCAGAAATACCAAAAAGAGGAAGAACAGAATTGAAATCAATAGTAATAGACAGCAAGAAATTTAGATACAACAAAGACAAAACCATATCTAATGTTTTAACAAAGAAACTATTAACAGTAAAGAAAACTAATGAATACAGAAGTTATGCTTTAAACAAGGCAAAAGATGCGTTCAGTGAAGGAAAAGTCAAAAACTTACTAACCAAACAGGCAATACAAAACAAATTTAAGGTCAGAGATATTCAGTCAGCATTTAGAAGATATGCTAATTCCATAGTGTTAGAAAATAAACACTTTGAAGGTGAAAGGGGATTAGAAATGATTGCTCACCAAAAACCAAGACTATTGGAGTTTTTAAGAAAGAATAGAAGCATGAAACTTAACATAAGAACAGAAGCACTCTTTGAAAAACCTGAATGCGATGATGGAGGTAATGAAATGGGCAGTCAGGAACTTGTATATGCTCTACCATCAACACGCTTCAATATTAGTAATGACGATGAACTGACACAAGCATTAGAAGATAGTGTTAAACAAATCTTATTACAAATACAAAATTTAGAAGCATCAACCTCTAATCTACGCTTTAAACAGATTTTATCAATAGCCATTCATTATGACAAATATGACCCAACAAGAGCAGGGAGATACATAGAACTACCAGAATGGATTAAACTAAAAAAGGCATGTATCAACATCAAAAACAAAGACCAGAAATGCTTCAAATATTGTATTCAATCCGTAGTCTATGACAAAATAAGCAAACATCACCCAGAGGAAATGTTCCACTATAATAAACTGAAAGATTATATTTTGAACTGGGATGGTGTAAATTTTCCAGCTGGTAATAGGGACATAGATAGATGTGCTGAGTAAAATTGCTTCTTATAAAATTGGAGACCCTAAATATTTGAAAATTAAATATTGCCATATTGAGGCATTAAAGAGAATACAAAACAAATATAAGATTTCAAGAGTTGGTCCTAAAATAGCAAGACATTTGAAATCAAGAAAACATATATATATAATTGAATACTGTATTATGAGAGAGGGAACGCCATTTAGTTTAAAAAGTTTAGAAGACATAATAACAGAAGAAACAAATATCATCTTAAATTTATGAAGAAGTAGAAGATGATTTAAATTTTAGAGTTAATCTTGATATTGAAGTCCAATTAGTGGTGAGAGATTTATTTTATGAATGACTTTGATGAATATGTGGATGAAGATAATGTAGATGAACTATTAGAGAAAGCAGTTGAAGAAATGAAAGCCGACATAGAAGAAGACCAAGATAAAGATAGTATAATAGGAATACAGGCATTTCATTTTAAATTCGTAATTATTGAAGACATTTACTACTAACATATTTCATCTTTATTTATTGGAATTATGGATGATTAAGATATGATTATTAAAGGGTATGGATTTATATTTATAGTTGTTCTCTGTTTTGATTTTTATATTGTGCTTTGCTTGGTCTATTTTTTTTTGTTTGTTGTTTGGTTGTTCCGTTTTGGGTATGGCATGGACGAGGTGATGATGTATTGACTGTTGTGATTTTTATAAAATGGATGAGGTAATAGATGGTTAGTAGTT